CCCTCTCTCTATCTATCAGTTTCTGGATTCTGCTTTTCCTTGCACTGTTTACCTCACCTATTCAGAATGAAAGCCTCCGCTTACCCTTTTGCCTTTTGCAGTTTAAGACAATAAAATTTATAACTGGACACTCAAATGGTTTAGCTATTGAGATTTTGAATAGAGTGTCTGATTCACCATTTACGAGAATGATGTCCACAAGAAAGGCCAGGAGATTGATTAAACAACTTCCATAAAGTAAGTCTTCCTCATGCTTCTATGTAACTGTAAACTTGTAAGAAGTCTATTGTGAACATTTGCAGACTTTTCAATGTGCTTTAATTCAGAGGAGACTACATGATATCGTTCTTGTTTTAGTCCATGAATGCAAGAAATTTTTGGGGTTGAATTAAAGTAGGTCCCCTGTTTCTGTTTGACATTCATTAAACAGCTTAATAATGCAAATCTAGTTACATTTTCCCTCTCCTTGAATAGCATAATCTAACACACTTCATTTGAATTCTTAGCGTTCCTTCACTTTAGCTACTCTATCAAAGTTCACAGACTGTAGGTAAGCTGTGAACAATATACGAATGCTTTACAACAGCATAATGGTTATTTTTATTTATATATTTATATATTTTGATCAGTAACAATTATCTATCCATGTTCCATTTTTTATGCATCTAATTATCATTAACAGGAAGGAGAAAGTGCTTCAGCAGTGGGCCCCTCGACTGCTTCATACTCTGTAATGGCTCTACAGACGTATACGCATTGTCTGGGAGTAGTTCACAGCTAAACATATGGGTTTGGACCTATTAATGTGATGAGTCCTCAATCGATCAATAGTTGGTTCCTCCTTCATCACCCAAATCTCCTATTTATGCATGAACATTAGCAAGGTATATCACTGGAATTTGAGCATTTAGCGTTACCATAGCAGAACAATTTTACCCTCACTAGTTTTAACAGCCTAACTGACAGAAACCATGCAGCCTTTATAGTAGCTGCCAGTGGAAATTTGAATCAGGATTTGCCGGAGAGGCCATTGGCACCTGCTTATTACTTACTAGTCTCTCTCTCTGTTTACAAATTAGAGTGTTTTTTGGGTGGTTTCATCCTAAGTTGCTACTATAAGCATAACCAGATATGCAGCGCAATAATTCATGTTCTGTTTTTGTCAATGAAGAACTCAAACGAGAACTTTATATTCAGCCATCAAGATCTGCTACTTGAAGAAACCAATGTGTAAGGTAGTGTACATTCATTTCAATTTCATCTGTAATGCCAATTTGCAGATCACATGATATTGAACATGCAGAATAACTTGGGGCTCTTAGCATAAGTTAAGCAGTCTGTCAAATGAGCTTTCAGTAAGACATATACTTACCTAGGGAATCTTTAAGAACTTGTGTCAGCTTGCTATTCCTGTCAACAGTAAACACTCAGATCAGGATTAGTTTTGAGTTAATGGTGAAACTTCTATTATTATGCGCCACCTTCAGCAATTACCAATTTACCGGAAGCCTACAACTTTTTTGAGTGGACAGAATCTATCAGCTTGGATTCTCATTCAATTGATTCCTTGAATCAGGAATTGCTATCTAATACCATGTTTGTGAGTTACCTGTAAGGAATGTGGCGCCTTTTACTTTGGAGGGCATGGATGACATCTCCAAGGGAAGAAAGTGAAAGATTAATTGCTTTTCCTTCTTCAAATCTTCTCCCCAGTGCTTTTGTTTTTAGAACACGTTCACTTCCTCCAAGGTCGATCATCCACAGTTTGTTTGTTAACCTTCTCCGTTCACTGGCACTAAAGCTGGAAACTGATATGCGAATCATGCTGTATGGAGCAGACAGAATCTATTTAGAGTTTTTTTATGATGTAAGTTGTTCATTGATGGCATCAAGAAGATGCAATAGTACACAAGATAATACAACAAAAAAACTGAGTCAGCTCTAATACAAAAAAAGGCTAATCTTAGACCAAGGTGCTGACAAAGTTCAAAAAGTTAAAGAATTTATTTAGAGTTTAGAAACCTTTTGCGATCTAGATTATTTAGTGTTATCCTCCAAATCCTGGAGCAAATTCAAGATAGCTACATATATCAGGTTCGTTTTTATCATAGTCATTTAGCTGGCCTTAAAACAAATTAAATACCTTTCTACTTAACATTTTTGTATCAAAATGAATTGATTTACCAGTGAGATCTGCTTGATGTTCGGTTGGAATTTGTGGAAGCAGTGGATCTGAAACCACATCCTAACTTGTACAGTCTCATGGCTTGGTTGAAGTCATTTACTTGGATGGTCACAAGGTTTTCAATCTCGATTTCTCCATTGGGATGTGTTTGGATTGAGAGACTGCATGTAGAAAACTTGCATTAAATGAGAAAGCAATTAACCTTTTCCAGAAAGTAGGAAGTGGATGAAAATTTAAGTATTGATCATCAATTAACCTGATCGTTCATAGTCAAATGTGTGTTTGATCATCTGAGGTTTCGATATATGAACATGGTCTGGAACTTTTTCTTAGTGAGCATTTATGAAAACCTGCCATTCCGAATGGCTTAACTTCATGTTTTAGTATTAGCAGATTAGGCAACTGAAACACTTCCTAAGATGTCTATGCATGTGGATTCATTCAAGTTAACAAATAAGCATAAGATCATTCTGGAGTTCTTATTGTATCATTACTTGCTCAACAGGACCAGGTCTAGCGGATCCATCAAAATAGATAGTTCAATCAGAAAAGCATGCAAGCCGTGCAACCTTACAGCAGATTAACAGGTTAGTCTGTGACTTACCATGGTGGTAAAGGGAACATTGATTTTGTTGTCTGACTATGAGGAATGAGGAGATCTTTTAGATATCCCATGTATATTTCCAGCATACTGAAGCTGAAGAGGAATGCATGGTTACTGTCTGCCGCATGCTTAAAGAGCGCCTCAACTGCACGGGGCACAACCCCTGGAAACTCCTCCGTGCCTTCCTGGCAGGTATAGTTACCAAAATCATCATCTTAGAAAATGCAACAGTACGCTTTCTGAAATTTTATACTGGACTCTCTCTAGATATCACTTGTTAATTTTCCTGTCCGGTTCTCATTTAACTTTTTTCTAGAAGTTGAGTAAAATCCTAAGGGGTTGTTCCGTGTACGGTTTAGTTATGCAGAGATTATAATGCATGGACTGTCTATGTGTGAAAAATAATTTAGACATTGTTATCTGATGAATAATAGTGCAGGGATTGTTATGCGTTGAATAATACTCCCTCTGTTTCAATTTAGATGGGTAGTTTGACTCGGCACGGAGTTTAAGAAAAAAAGAAGACTTTTGAAACTTGTGGTCTTAAAAGCTTAAGGGGTAAAAGCATTATGGGACCAAAACATTTGTGTTGTTATAAAAGCTTCTCATTAAGGGTAAAATGAAGAGTTTAAAGTTGAAATATTTTCAATTATAGAAACGTGTCATTCTTTTGGAACAGACTAATAAGGAAAATGTGTCATCTAAATTAAAACAGAGGGAGTAGTAGATAGCTTGTGGCATAGGGATTGCCTAGTTTATGAGGGTATTTTTGTTTTCAGATACTTTTATCCATGTATTCTAATCCCACCATCTATCTCTATATAAATTAATATATAGATTCACGTATAAGTTTTATCGTAGTTTCTAATACGACATTTGGTTTCCGACATTGAACTTCTCATAACTTTGCAGAGTTCACTATCGGAAACCATTAGTCATACAGAGATTGTATTAGTTATGTAGGTGTTTATACTGAGAACCAAACACAGTATAAGTAAAATACATAATTTAGAATGGTGATTAAATTTTCTTATACTTTAAACCAAATGGCCCTGGTGTTTAATACAGTTCTAGCAGATAAACTGCACTCCGAAAGATGAGCATGCAATAATTCTTGTATATCATGAGTGCCATTTTATGGCAAAACTCTATTTCACACCGGCTGAAATGATCTGCTTTGCATGCTAAATCAGAAGTCAATCGAAGCATAGGTAGTTGAACATACCATTGTAAATGTTTTCCCTGTGCCTGTCTGCCCATAAGCAAATATGCATGCGTTATAGCCATCCAGAGCAGACTTGATTATTGGTTCAATTTCTGAAAAGACCTCACCTGCCGTAGCAAAGAAACAATCAGGTTTGCATTTCTCCAGTTAGTCATTGAACCAGAGAAGTTATCAACGTAATATATCAATTCCCTTTGTTTTTTTGTTTCATATTGTAATTAAATCTGATTTTGTGTTAAATTCAATCTCTTCAAAGTTTCTTTGTTCTTAAAATTTGCGCATCGAAGAAAATCAAGAAATGTAGTCTATGTTCCTGGATTAGTGCATGAAAATGAAAATGGTATTTCTTCGTTCTTTTAAAAATAGAAATGAGGAATAATTTACTAAGTTAATTTTTTGAATCCAATAGGACTAAAGTTCAATTCTCACTAAGCCTCCCACCACCCAATAGAAAAAAAATAGTTTTTTTTTTTGTACCGAGATTAACATTAATGAGTCGATCTTGGACAACAAAGTTGGGTATCCTTCCTAGCTAGGGAGTTAAATTCTCCGTCAGTTGTTAAAGTACTTGACTATTTTTGTTAATTGTCTTGCCTCCTATTTGTTGTGGGAGACAATTCTTGGCTCCACATCTTGACTCTAAACAGGACTTATTTTTCGAATACATCATTATCTTATGGATAAGGTCAAGTATCTGCCTAATACTGGATTCTAACCAATATGAGGGCTAAAGTATCATAAGGTTATGGCTTCTTCTTGAGAATGCACTTGAAAAATATGATTGAGGCCATAACACTTCCTCTGAAATATGCATATCAGTAGGAAATGGATTTTTGGTGGCTGAAACTATCTCCATATCAGAAAAATTGCACATGATTGAGGGTTGATGGTACACAATGGACAGAATTTTACTCAATCCCTCCCAATTAAAATGTAATGGGCGAGCTTACCATCCACTGTGAAGAACAATATGTTTGTGGCTTTGGATCCTAAAAAAATAATGTCCGTGGAACTCCCTTTATTGGTGAAGCCTCCCAAGCCAAGTCCACCATATTGCAAATGGTAAAGATGTGATCAAAGTTGTTTCCATAGTTTCTTTAGAGTGCTCATAAAGGTGAAAGTTAGGATTGCTTCTTTGCCAGGATTACATGGCTAAGTGGATTCTCGTTGAAATTTGCTTTGGCATTAAAAGGTTTCAGGTGTCCGATCATTTTTTTTTTTTAACAAGAGTGGGTTGCTCTAATGGTGAGAACCCTCCACTTCCAACCAAGAAGTTGTGAGTTCGGAGTCACCCCAAGAGTAAGGTGGGGGGTTCTTGGAGGGAGGGAGCCGAGGGTTTAACCTTTCTACCCCAGAGTAGGAGTAAGGTCTGCGTACACATTACCCTCCCCAGACTGCACTAGTGGGATTATACTGGGTTGTTGTTGTTGTTGTTGTTGTTGTTGAGGTGTCCGATCATTTTTAAAGATGACTTCTCAAAATTATGAATTTTGGTCCTTTATGCCCTCGACCAGGTGTACCTATTCTACTTCAATGGTACATGCATCTCCTAAAAGCTTCTCTACATCATCAAATTTAACCATAAATTCATCAGGAGTATCTCACAAGTTCGGTAGAGGTAGCTACCTCTGGCTTGGTTACTTTTATCTCTTTTTCCTCAAGATATTTGATTGTAGTTCACTAATTTGTAAAGGTCAAAACTTCTGCTAGTCGTTTTGTAGAGCTTTCTTATACTAAGTGGGTAGTTTGAAACTATTGATTTTCACTTTAATAATTTCAACCTCAAGCTTCTTGAATATTGAAGAAGGTGATATCATATCAAAGGCGCTGCCTTTTCTAATGATGGAATTTATTTGCATATTGGATTGACATTTGTTGCCAAGTTTGAGCGACTCCTTTGCAGCCGTCCTTGCCTTGGCCCTCCATTTCCTTCCCCGATTCCAGTTTCCCTTTGGTGCCACTGACTGCGATTTTGAGGGGATGTCAGCTACGGTCAACAAACAAGAATGAGTTGCTCTAGTGGTAAGCACCCTCCACTTCCAACCAAAAGGTTGTGAGTTCGAGTCATCCCAAGAGCAAGGTGGGGAGTTCTTTGAGGGAGGGAGACGAGGGTCTATCGGAAACAGCCTCTCTACCCTAAGGTAGAGGTAAGGTCTGCGTACACACTACCCTTCTAGACCCCACTAGTGGAATTATACTGGGTTGTTGTTGTTGTCAGCTACGGTCAACATGCGATTTTGAGGGGTTTCCACTCGTGCTATCTTTTCGACTAGTTTAAAGCTGAGCTCTTTTAACTCCTAAAACACAATCTAAAAAGAATGCTTTTAGTATTGTGACTAAATGTTTTATGCCACTTGTAATACCATTATGCCACTTATAGCACCACTTGTTTTGCAGTTTCACAAATGACAATAAACTCTAATCTTTTGGGTGTTTGGTTTTCTTATTCTTGGCAACATAGAAATTTCAAGAAATTTAATGACAAAGTCAAGGAGTTCATGGTTCGACAATTAGGAAACCATAGATAAATCATGGAGTTTCACTTGTAAAAGATCTAAATTTCAGCATCGTATATTGGAGTTCGAAATTTCTAAGTGAAACTCCAGTACACAGGATCGGAGCGAATTCCAGCATAATGTGCAAATATTTCACTTGAAAAATCTTTGAAATCCAGTAGTCGTTCTTCCATATTTTAGGTAGGAGTCCAAACTCGGGTGAAAGAAGTGACTAAATACTAATAACAACTTAAAAATTATCGTCTAAACTCAGGGGTTGAAAGTGATTATTTTCCTATTTCTCCCTGTCGGTGTTGGTGTTAGGTTACTAATTTAAATTTAAGATTATTTGGGGTAGATTTAGGTGGTTGGATCGAAATTAAAATGGCAAAGAACACCTTACTGTTTATGTGCAACACAGTAGGGGTGTCAATGGATATTTAAAAACCGACTAAACCGATCGAACCGTACCGTACCGAATGATAATTTAGGTTTCTTTTAATAAAACCGTAGGTTTTTATATAAATCTATAACCGTACCGATAATTAGGGTAGGTTTTTTATTTTATGAAAACAAACCAAAAAAATAATGAACCGTACCGAATAAATTTACAATGTGAACAATATATTTATATATTAAGTATAAAAATAATAAAGCATTAAAATGTTTTTTGGGCCTTGGAATTATGAAACAGTTACAAGCCAACAAGTAATTAAACTCAAAATCATAATTCCCAAACCTATTGTACTACTCCTATTGAAACTAAATTATTTCCAACATGTTCACTAGCAAGACACAAGGTATTATAGTGATTATGAGTAGCAAACTACAATGTATTGAATATGTTTCCTTTCGTGTGATTTTGATTTATCCTTTTGAATATTTAATCTTCTATTGACTTTATTCTTAAATCTCAGCTTAGTTAATATTATTTCACTCATGTGATTTATATTATTTTTGTATTTGCTTAGTTTCTTTTACGTTGATGTAGAATAGTTGATGGATCTATATTTTAGCCATCTTTTATATTTTCTTAATTCATCACCTTTTAAACTGTAAAAATGTCATAAAGTTTGCTAAGTCCCATAAAAGTACGTATGTTATTGCATTCTACTTCTACTAGTGACTTTTACCTGACATTAAAAAATTACCGAAAATTTACCGAACCGTACCGATACCAAAGAGAAACCGACATGATTGAGACGGTTTCGAAAAGTCTAATTTTGATTATACATAATAGAATATTCGAAAAATTGGTATGGTACAAATTTTATAAAATAACCGGCCGAACCGAACCATTGACACCGTTGACTACTTTAAGGTGGAGGTATTATAGTCTAAATTTATTTTATTAAAGATAAACAGGTCAGTTCCGCACAAATATTTAAACCAGGGACAAATGTACACTACAACGCGAGACTATCACTTTCGTGCAAATCTCCTCAA